TTCGAATCTCTTTCATTTCCAGTAATCCATTGCGTCTTACTGGCATTATCACCTTGATTGGGGTTAAATGAGTAAAAAAAATTTTAAAAAATGAAAATTTTTAGGCAAACATGTACCTTGCGATAAAAGAAAATAAAAAATGATTTTTCACAAGAAATCAAAACTGGGAAAATCGCGTTGAGGTGCACAAGATCTCGACCTAAACGTAATTTATGTAAGAAAGGATTTTTCCCTGTGTTGTTTGATTCAAACAGAATTCTTTACATCGAATTTCGAAAACTAGGAATAAATTTTGCCGTAAATATCTACACAGAGTAATTGTCTCGTTTGAATTACGCAATGGAATAAAAAAAAGTCCTCTAAGTAATAATCCTTGCTCGTCTGTTATTTCATAAATTTGAACCTATAAACAAATCCAATCAATCCCGTAGTCCTTCTTTTATGATGGAATATCTGTGGTACGTGATTCACACCAGGAAATACCAGATGGTCTGATAGATTTTAATGTCAATAAGCAAACCTTTGTACTGAGAATATTTGGTCGGGGTTGACCTAGAGAATTACACCAGAGCACCAGAGGAGTCTTGTGCATTAGAGGGTTGACTTGGAAGATAAATCTCAAATGCATCAGGTGCAGGACCTGGGCACCAAGGATGATCGCCACCGACATGTAAACAGGTGTAAATCCCAGTTGACCTTACCATATGCACACACGTGACAACAGTATGACAGGAAGTTATATAAGCACGTAACTGAGAGGAAAAATCGAAAGTCTCTGACAACCATGCGAGAAGAAGTTCCACGTTCGAAGAACGTCTCCAGAACTACATACCCTCACGTGAACATTAACTGACGAAACACATGTGTATAAAAAATAATTTTACATGTCTTGTAATTTTATTAGCTTCACATAAGTATTACAGTCAATATATTGTCAAATACAACAACGAAAAGAGATCTGTTTCTGATACTTTGGATATTGTATCTAAATCATTGTAATATTGAAGAGAAAATCACAGAAATGTGCTGCTATTTTTGAAGTCCTTATTCTTGCGGTAAGTATACTAGATTCCCTTAATTTAGCTTTTTTTTTTTGCTATCCTCTGCCGGCCGCAATGATGGAGAAAGCATTATCTCGCACTATCGCCAGTGAGACACACTGCAAGAGCCACTCCGTTTCGCGAGGCTCGTCCCTTAATCGAGACACAATCCTGCCAACCCTCCGAAGGAACGCCATCGAACGAAGGCCAATAAACCCAGAAGTCTTAAATTTTTTTGATGACAGAATAATAAGGCTGTAAATTTTTATGCATAACCTATTTTTTTATATAAATAAAATGAATAAATATCATGTCATCCCATAAGTTCTGTCCGAATTTTGAATAAAGAAAACAAGTGACCAAATGTTACATTTAATTACAGATTCAATCAACAATGTATTTTCCCTGATTATCTATGACTTCCTTCCATCTATTAACAAGCTTACTAATTCCATTACTGTAATATTCTTTTGGCTTTGATTCAAAGAAATCACAAATGTCAGTTTTAACCTCTTCCTGTGTTACAAAAGTTGTTTCTTCCAAATGATTCTGTAAGCTACGAAACAAATGGTAGTCTGAAGGAGCAAGATCGGAAGAATAAGGTGGATGAGGAATTTTCTCCCAACCAAGTTCTTCGATCTTTTGTGACGTGATTCTTGCTGTGTGGGGTCGCGCATTGTCCTGATGAAACATCACCTCTTTTCGATTCACTAGAGCAGGTCTTTTATTCCTCAAAGCTTGGTTCAAACGCTCTAATTGCTGACAGTATATTAGAGCATTAATTGTTGAATTAGGTGGTAAGAATTGAAAGTGGATTATTCATTGGCGATCCCACCAGATTGAAAGAAGAACCTTTTGCCCATGAAGTTCCCTTCTCGGCTGCGACTGAGGCCCTTCCTCTTTACCAATACACAGTCTACGACGCTTAACATTTCGATAAAAGATCCATTTTTCATCGCCAGTCACAAGTCTATCCAAAAAAGGTGAAACACGTTGGCGAGAATGGAGAGAAGAGCAGATGTTAACTCGCGATTTGAGGTTGTTTTCAGACAATTCATGAGGCACCCATTTTCCAAGTTTAGGAACTTTTCCAAGTTGTTGAAGATGACGATGAACAGTTGTATGGTTTGAACAGAGAACCACTGCCAATTCCTCAACTGATAAAGCAGAATTTTCTTCAAGGGCTGCTTCAAGAAGCTTTTCATCAAAATCAACTGGACGTCCGGTTCGATCTTCATCTTCAAGGGTGAAATCTCCACCTCTGAATTTTGCAAACCATCTTCTGCAAGTTCTTTCATTCACACATTCGGACAGAACTTATTGGTTGACCTGATACATAAACTAAATACTCAAAACAGTGGACATGATTTCAACATAAACTAAATTATTTCAACATAAACTACATTTAAATTCATATTCAATCTTTGATTCGAATAGTTTGTTCTACTTTAATTTCCTCA